TATATTTTGAATGTTGTGGCGATGGATTTTATCTTGGTTGATTTTAGTTTTAGTTTTGGTTTTGGTTTTGTGACTATCCTGTTAGTTTTAGTTTTTATGCAGGGTGACATCGTTGTTTAGCATGCATGGTTTGCAAGTATAAAAAGTACAAGAAAGACAACACTGTAAACTATAAAAAACGTACCTGGGTACCTGGCGAGTCTTCCACCTAAATCTCAAAATGCATGTCAGGGCATTTTATATGAAACAGGAAAGTAAAGTTTTGTCGACCTACCTAACCCTAGGTCATATCTTGGTGGGTCTCTATTAGTTTGATTAAGGATGATTTTATTAAGCAAAGCATATTAGGTTTAGTAGACCTCTGAGGTATCCAACAGGTTAGGAGGAAGAAGCAGGTTCATGCTTCCCTCTTATCACCTGGTGAAAAGCCTCGAGTTCATTCAAATTTATTATGTTGCTTAATAATTCCTCCTATTAATACCTTAATGCTCAATGAACATTGGTATCCTAATTATCCCTAAGAGTAGGGTAATTATCATTTGCAATTTAATTTTGAAGATTATGTGAATGAAGACACTTAAAGGGGGCAAGCTAGTGTGGTTGGAATGCTTGGTCCAAATTGGGATTGTAGTGTTTTAAAGGTGTTAAATTTTAGCTATGTTTGCTTTTCTAATCCTCATTTACTCATTTAATCAGTTTTAATCAGTCTTGATTAATCTTAGATCACTACTAAGCCCTTAAGACCTAGGTGGGTGTCTTAATTAATTTTGAAAAGGTTAAGTTTAAGGTGATCATGATTCATTATTTGAATTTCATTTGAAAATCAAATAGGGGTATTAAATTGATTAATTATTGACTTCAAAAGTCATACCCCTAAGTCCTAGGTTCGTTTAATTTTAATAAACTTCTAAATTTTAATAATTTAGAAAATTATTAATCTATCCTTTTAATTAGGAAAGTGAGAATGGTTTCTACCAATTAATTCTCTTTTTAATTTCAGCCATCCAAATAAGTTAATTAAGAATCAAAATTACCATTTTACCCTTTTAATCAATCCTAAAATTTAATTAAGGTCTAAAAATTCAAAATTACCATTTTGCCCTAAGGGCTCTCCACATTATAACTCATTAAAAATAACTCAAATGACTTTAAAATTTTTATAGTACCCCACTCATGGGTCAATTAAGACATTAGAGGATAAAATGTAATTTTTAAAATTTAATTTAATTTATATAATTATTTTCATGCAAAAAATGAGATTTTCAAAGAAAATTTGTTAACTTGACCAAGGGGAAGCCTAATCACTTGAATTTTTTCCTGGAGGTATACCTAGACCAGAGAGCCATTTGGACAAAAGTTCATGATTTTTTGAATTTTATTTGAATTATTAGAATTATTTTAATTTTTGGAGTGTTTATTAAATATAAAATATTTTAAATGGGGAAAATTAAGTTTTGTATTTTTGAAAAATCTTCTTGAGTTTAGAGAACTTAGAGAAGCAAATTTTGCATTTTTTTTTTCTTTGATTTATTGGAATTATTTTAGTGGAAATCCATTTTTTAGCCTTTAAAAATTATTTTAAGCTTCAAAATACAATATCTTCATTTATAAAATCAGGGAAAATATTCTAATTGCTTCTAAATGCTTAGAAAACAATTTAGAGCATTTCCATGTATTTTATTATTTTTCTGATTTTTATGAATTTTTAATTATTTTAAATATTTTAAAAATTGGCTAAAAATGAAGTTTTTATTTTAAATACCATTTTATTTTTTTAAAATTCCTTTATTCTTAGAGAACTCCAAAAATAAGTTTTGATAACTTTTTGAGTTATATTTTGATCATTAAAAATCATTTTAGTGTCAAAAAAGATATTTAACTTGAAAAATCAATTTAGGCCATCAAATGGACTCAAAATGCTTTGAAATTTTTATGGAGAGTTCTCTGGATCTTAGATAATAGTGGAGATAAAAAATCAAGTCATTTTGATGTTTATGTTTTCAAAAATTAATTACCTTAGTGATTTAGGGTTTATAAAGATTAGGTGCATTTTAAATGATTTGACTCATGATAAATTTTCCTAAGGGTTCTTTGGTTATAGTGAACCTACCAAAATTTTGTTGGATTTTACTAAGAAACATTTTGATTATTATGATTAATTTATGCAAATAATAGACATAAACTTGAAAAATATGGAACTCTATCTAGAGGTCTCCTCTGACTTTGGAAAAATCAGAAAGTGTTCCTCTTGACAGAGGCTACAACATGCCAAAATTTCAAGCAATGGTGAAATGCCTATCTGCATGTAGAATCAAAAGACTCAAAATAATATTTAATTAATTAAAAATAAAACATGTGTCAAATGGACTTCAAATTATTTCCACATTGTTCTCCTCTATTCACTGAGCAAGAGTATATTTTTATTTTATTTTTGTGATTTTTCTACACCAAGATATAGATTTTAAAGTTAGGGGTCATTTTTTGATTTTTTTAATTCCCTATTTATCTATTTAAACGTGCGGCGCTGACTGGATCCTAGGTAGCTTCGAAGCTCCATGCGGTGCACTCCCATTTGATGTTGTCGTCCATGCTACCAGCTTCATCTTGATCGTCCATCCGATACACACTCGATCGAACGGTGCTCCATCATCGTCCTCAATGGCCTAGCCTGAGAACTGT